TGGATTGCACAATGAGTAATGGAATGAGAAAATGCGAGAATAAAGGAGTTTTCGAAAAGTGGTTAGAGTTGGGTAACTAAACCGGGTCTATTTCACTGGAATGAAATTGATTGATTCGGCCAAAACTCAAAAAATCTGATTTCCTGGATAGCACGAGGGTTATTGAAATGAACAAATAGATGAATGGCTTCTCTAAAAGGTTTTTCGAAAAGTGGTAGAAGCTGGGCAACTAAACCGGGTCGATTTCTCGATTTCTCGATTTCTCTCGATTTACATTTCTTAGCCCTAAAAAGGAATTCAAGAAATAGCTTTCTGGAGTGCACAAAGGAAAAATTGAGTTTTTTGGAGAATTTGGGAAAATTCGGGAAAATTTGGGAGAATTTGGGAAAATCGTTTAGCTTAGAGATTGATTGACAGCCAGCCAGAGTCCTCGATCATTTTTGTGGCCAAGTGATCATTTTTTTTCCAGGAAAAAGGAGTCAAAAAGATTGCTTTCATTTCTTGCTTTCATCTTTTTCATCTTTTTTTTTTCTTAAAGGCGCCAATTGTTACTTTTAAAAGTTGGATATTCAAAAAAAAAAGAAAAAAAAAACAAAGAAAGTTTTAAGCTTAAAAACTATTTTAAAAGCTCATGTGCGCTCCAGAATAAAAGATTATAAAGTAAAGAAAATGTTCTTAAACCATTTACCATCTAAAACTTGATAGAATAGTTTTTGCCAGTTCGATTCTTGGTTTCCAGCTCTTCCCCATCTTCCTCAGCTCTTCCCCATCCTCCCCAGCTCTTCCCCATCTTCCTCAGCTCTTCCCTATCTTCCTCAGCTCTTCCCCATCCTCCCCAGCTCTTCCCCATCTTCCTCAGCTCTTCCCCATCTTCCCCATCTTCCCCATCTTCCCCATCTTCCCCATCCTCCCCAGCTCTTCCCCATCTTCCCCATCTTCCCCATCTTCCCCATCTTCCCCATCTTCCCCATCTTCCTCACTTCTTTCTAAAGCTTCTGTCCTCTCCAGGATTGCGTTTAAAATAAGAAATACTTCAGAAAAGCTTTATTTTAGACAAGATCGATTCGAGAAATGGGCACTGATGAAGAGCTGGGGAAAATCCGGCTGAACTCCCTTCTATTCAACGCTAAGACGCGCCCGATTTCATTTGCGGTAAATGAGTTGTGTTCCCCTATCGCCGTGTGCTATCCAGCTTGCGCAACCGGGGGGCGCAAAATCAGGAACCCGTGTCTTTCTCAAGGCTTTTGACTCTCGATCTTGTCTCCACTCTTTCTCTCTCTCTCTTCCTCTCTCTCTTCCTCTCTCTCTTCCTCTCTCTCTCTTTCTCTCTCTCTTCCTCTCTCTCTTCCTCTCTCTCTCTTCCTCTCCTCTCTAACGGCTCTGCTGGCACCCATAACCGAATTTCGTGGCCTGATCCATCCCCTCACTTCTCACTTCAGCGAAAAGATGCTCTATTTTAGAGTACATCAACAACAGTGTACAGATGGGGAAAATAGAAAAACGACGTTGAGTAACTGAACCGAATCTGACAATTGTTAAATGTTGAGTAATTAAAACGGTTCAAAAGCTAATGTGCGTTCCAGGATTTTGTTTGAAAAAGAAATATTAGAAAATAATGGAAACACAGCTAAAAAGCAGCCACGACAATGACAGGGCAGAAATGCAAAATTCTGAAAAAGAAAAATTGGGTAATTAAACCAAACCAGGAGCTAGTGTGCGTTCCAGGATTTAGTTAGAAAAAAGAAAAGTTTCAATTGAATGAAAATTAGAGCATAAACCTGTTTGAACAAAAAAAAAGCGGTAGTTGATTTTGAAATTTTTTGTGTTCTTTTTGTAAAGTTCTCGATTTCAGCGAGAATCTCTGCTATTTGATGGATGAAATTAAAAATTCGAAGGCTTAAAAAGGCTTTTTGAGTTGTTGTGACAAGGCGGTGACAAGTCGAATCTCAAAAATTCTCCGAGTCGGAAGAGAGAATTCTTGACATTGAAAACTTTATGCTAATAACTTTTTTAAGCTTTCTTTTTTCCTCGTGCCTTCCAGGATTTAAGATTTTGCTAGTTTAAGTGCCTAAAGATTGACTGTTTTCACAAGTTTTCCTGTCGATCAACTCCTAGTCGATCAATTTTGGGCCGATCTACTTCTCAAATCTACTTCTCCAATTGGAGAGGTCCAATCCTCGGTAACTAAATCGAGGATTTTAAGAAATTGTAAACTTGGGCTCTTATTATGTCTAGAGTTTTATAGAGAAGACTTAGAGAAGAGAAGAGATAAAGAACCAGATTGAGAGAGATAATGAACCAAATTGGTAGAGAGATAAGGAGCCAGATTTGGAGAGATAAGGAAACAAATTGAAGGAGCTAAGGAGCCAAATTGAGAGAGATAAGGAACCGAATTGGTAGAGATAAGGAACCAGATTTAGAAAGATAAGGAGCCAAATTGAGAGAGATAAGGAACCGAATTGGTAGAGATAACGAACCAGATTTAGAAAGATAAGGAACCAAATTTGTAGAGATAAATAAAAACAAATAGCCGTTGATTAGCCTTTTTCATTATCATAAATCAAGCAAAACATAGCACTCGAGTTGATTTTGTTTTTTCTTGGAAAATCGGGTAATTAAACCGGATGAAAAACTTATGTGCGTTCCAGGATTTAGTTTGAAAAAAGAAATATTAGAAAATAATAAAAATACAGCCAAAAAGCAGTCACGACAATGACAGGGCAGAAATGAAAAATTCTGAAAAAGAAAAATCGGGTAATTAAACCGGATCAAAATCTAGTGTGCGTTCCAGGATTTAGTTTAAAATAAGAAATGCTTCAGTATAATGCTTGAGTAGAACATAAATCAATTGGAGACATTCATTTGATCGAGTCGACTAATTGAAACACATTTATTTGATCGCTTGATCATTTATTTGACCGCTAAAAGTTATATGAACATTTTTGAGAGTACAAAGTACATTTGGAATGAGAGAGGTGAGCAAAGCGGCTGATTTGAAATAAAATTCAGGCTCCTGAATAGAATTTAAAATTCTGAATAGCATTTAAATGCAAATTTAAAAAAAAAAGTCATTTCAAGGATTATTAGAAGACTCAGAGTCGAAATCTCTCGATTTTCGAAAAGAAAAGATTTTAGGAGTGAGTGTGAGTTCCACGATTTCCACTCCTTCACTCCTTTTCCTTCTTTTCCTTCTTTTCCTTTTGTGCAAAGAAGGAAAAGATCCGAGGGTCAATTGGAGTCAAAGCATCAAAGAGAAATAGGAAGAGGAGGGCCCCCCGAAAAGATTCAATTTGACACAAATCCCTTTTCCCATCCACATACACAAAAAGCGGTTGGTTCGACTTCCGATTTCGCTCCTCAATCAACGCATATTTTTTTTTTCCTTCTGCAGGTTACCTCAAAAGGAGCTGAAAGGAAAATCTCGATATTCCTGGAAAACCGTAAACCAGTTTAAAGGCTCTCGTCCTCCAGCAGGCTCTCGTCCTCCAGCAGGCTCTCGTCCTCCAGCAGGCTCTCGTCCTCCAGCAGGCTCTCGTCCTCCAGCAGGCTCTCGTCCTCCAGCAGGCTCTCGTCCTCCAGCAGGCTCTCGTCCTCCAGCAGGCTCTCGTCCTCCAGCAGGCTCTCGTCCTCCAGCAGGCTCTCGTCCTCCAGCAGGCTCTCGTCCTCCAGCAAGCTCTCGTCCTCAGCAAGCTCTCGTCCTCAGCAAGCTCTCGTCCTCAGCAAGCTCTCGTCCTCAGCAAGCTCTCGTACCATAAACCAGCATCCAGATCAAGATATCTAATATTTCCAGATGATCTAGATGTCCAATATTTCAGAGTAAACCAATTTAAGATTCTCTTCTCCTTTTAACTAAAGTTACTGAACGTATCTGTATTTTTTCTATTTTCCATTAACTCTCACAGAAAAACGATAGACAATAGACTTCCGCATTTCCTCGTAAAAGATAACGAAAAGGATTAGGCCAGAAAGGCCATGAAAATCTCTAACCGATTCACCGACCTCGAAAACCCCTCGATGGAAATTTCCAGCTGAATATCTATCAAAGAAAGAGAAATTTGTAAAGAGGTGCTCTTTGTTCGCGCCGACAATCGCTCTACATCTGGCATACGCGTCTAGCTTAAGAGACTTCGCTTTTCAGCTCGGTAAAGTAAAAGGATAGGTCGACAGCTTCGTTTTAGGTTTGACTGTCCCATTGTGGCAAACCGGGATCTTCAAACTGTTGATCTCTTTTCAAATTCGATCATTTTGAATTTGATCAATGTGGTGGGAATTTCAAATTCTGTTCAGAAGAAGAGGAGAATGGAGAAGTTGTTGTTGGTCTTTTGTGGGTGCTGGATTGAAAGGAGCGAACGGCAGTATTGTATAGGGAAAGGAGCCAATGACTGTGACAGCTTTAAGCGTCACTGTGCTCTAGAAGTTTAATGAGACGCTTAAACGAGGAGCGGTTCCAGCTCCTCGTTTAAGCATTCAAAATAGTGACCAAACATGCGCTTAAAATACACTCAGATAAACAGACAGACAAACAGACAGACAGACAGACAGACAGACAGACAGATAGACAGACAGACAGATAGACAGGCAGGCAGGCAGGCAGACAGGCAGACAGACAGACAGACAGACAGACAGACAGACAGGCAGACAGGCAGGCAGGCAGACTGCTGAAAGATTGCTTTCTAGAATGATTGTGATGTGGGGCTTAGATTCTGTTGGTCTTAAACTGCTGCCCTAGCTTGATATTCTCTCCAGACACAAAGCAATTCTACCAGGTAATTAATGTGTTAGTAAGGCGAGAGTATCACAATTCTAATTAGCAGGGTGTTCAGAAATCTTTCAAAAATTTATTTACAAAAAAAAAGAAAGCAAAAATCAAATCAAATCGAATCAAATTCATTTGAGCAAAACCCGTATTTAAAAATTGAAAAGAGAAAGAAAAAAATACTCCGTAGATTTTGATTTTCGTTGATTTTTGTTGAAATTTGTTGAAAATTGTTGAAATTTTAAACAAGTTGAGGAAAAGGCTTTTTTGGATGATCTTTTCGAAAGACGAATGCACAAACGGAGTCTTTGTGAATCTAAAAACTAACAATTTGGATGTCTGGATGTCTGATCTTCGGTGCGGAGTGTTTCGTAGTCTAGCTTTGAATGCGTTTTTCTCGACACTCGTTGGTGCTACAATGCTCGTTTAAATATCAAAAAATAGCCCTGAATTTCAGCTATTTTTTGATATTTAAATGAGCATTGTAGCGTAAACGAGTGTCGAGAAAAACGCGTTCAAAGCTAGACTACGCAACACTCCACACCGTCATTATGGGGGTGGGGCACTATTACAGTATTTACGGTATCTGGATGTCAGCTTGGCTATTGAAGTCATTAATTGGCCTTAATAAAGCTTTTTCGGCTTCCATAGCATCAGCTTCAATAGCATCAGCTTCAATAAGCTTCAATAAGCTTCAAATCTTGTTCCTGTTCAAATTCAAATCAAATTCAAATTGAAAAGCTTTTTGGGGAAAATCCTGTTTCCCTTGGGTTTTATCAATGAAAAACCTTAGAGACAGGATTTTAGATTTCGAATTTTAAGAAGAAAATCTATATCAATTTCTAAGAAATCAAAATGAAATCAATTTCAAACGCTTTTCTGCACTCACTTTGCGCTCCTTTTTTCGGAAATTTGATGGTAGCTCTTCTTGAGTTGGTGAATCAGACGCTCCTGGAAGATTCTCGATTGTCGGACTTGGAGAAGCGACTGAAATTTTGAAGCTAATTTTGAAGCCCTTGAAGCCCTTGAAGCTCTTGAAGCTCTTGAGGTTCTTGAAGCTCTTGAATGCTTTCCTTATTTCCTAGCTACAATTTGAATAATCCTGAATCTAGCGTGCAGCCCAGAATCCCTAAAAATGGGGATTTAAAAATTGGGAGAGCTAAAGGAGAGCTGAAGGAGAGCTGAGTCGAGTCTGTGATCGATCGCTGATCGGCTACACTGGATTTTCTAATTTTCTAACCTCAAATCCACTAAATAGCCATTGTGACATCCAGAAATCAAGAATATGCAATAAAATTTTGATCTTTACATTTAGAATAACTAAAAAATCTCCCGTCAACTCAAAAAGGCGGGTTTTTTTTTCCAATTGAACTATAGCCTTAGAAATTCAGCCTAAACTCGTTGTGACATCCAGGAAACAAGAATATCTGACTAGCAAAGCTGGTTGGCTTATGACTGGTTGGTTTATGGCTATGGCTGGTTGCCGTATGGCTATGGCTGGTTGGCTTATGGCTTAAAGCACTTACGAGACGGTAGCGAGTCTCCAGATTGGCTCGAGGTTCGACTCGTTCGATCCCGTCGTAAATCACCAGCTTTTGGCTGATCTTCTTCGCTTGGCATGTCATTGGAACTGAAACTTTTCACAACTTTTCACTCAGTAAAAGCTGAAGCTAAAGCTGAAGCTAAAGCTGAAGCTAAAGCTGAAGCTAAAGCTGAAGCTAAAGCTGAAGCTAAAGCTGAAGCTAAAGCTGAAGCTAAAGCTGAAGCTAAAGCTGAAGCTAAAGCTGAAGCTAAAGCTGAAGCTAAAGCTGAAGCTAAAGCTGAAGCTAAAGCTGAAGCTAAAGCTGAAGCTAAAGCTGAAGCTAAAGCTGAAGCTAAAGCTGAAGCTAAAGCTGAAGCTAAAGCTGAAGCTAAAGCTGAAGCTAAAGCTGAAGCTAAAGCTGAAGCTAAAGCTGAAGCTAAAGCTGAAGCTAAAGCTGAAGCTAAAGCTGAAGCTAAAGCTGAAGCTAAAGCT